GATCGGACCATCCATAGCCCTCTATGTGTCCGCTGACACCTGCTGGCATTCGATCCTGTACACTAAAAACGGATGGATGGGAATCAGTTCCCCAACCGACTGGCGGATCGGATGACTGTCGGGTGGAAACGTACAGGCGATCTGTTTCCATCCACAGCCACATAGAAAACAGCGGGCTGTGTCTGTGTCCGCTCTGCAGCAGCGGAGCAGACACAGACCTGTCATCCACTTGCTCAGTGGGGATCAGAGGAGAGATACCCCGCTGAGCAAAGGGGTTCCGCTGACGGGCCTGCCCCATCTGAAAGGGGCATGAAACTGGTAAAATGCTTCCTCCTGCCTGCAGCAGATTGATCACTGGGGTTGATCAGCAGGGGGACTGAGGAAATGCTTTCTCCCTCCAGAAGACTGATCACTGGGACTGATCACCAGGGGGACTGAGGAAATGCTTTCTCCCTCCTGAAGACTGATCACTGGGACTGATCACCAGGGGGACTGAGGAAATGCTTTCTCCCTCCTGAAGACTGATCACTGGGACTGATCACCAGGGGGACTGAGGAAATGCTTTCTCCCTCCAGAAGACTGGGGACACTGGGAAATGCTTTCACCAGGGACTGGGGGGACTGAGGAAATGCTTTCTCCCTCTAGAAGACTGGTCACTGGAGAGGAGATGAGACTGATGAGGAAATGCTTTCTTCTGCTTGCAGCAGACTGATCACTGGGAATGGGGGGGGGGGTTAGACTAAGGAAATGCTTCCTTCTGCTTTCAGCAGACTAATCACTGGAGGGCATGAAACGGGTGAAATGCTTCCTCTTACCTGCAGCAGACTGATCACAGCAGTGATGAGACTGAGGAAATGCTTCTTTCTGCTTGCAGCAGACTGATCACCGGGGACTGAGGAAATGCTTCATTCTACCTCCAGCTGACTAATTACAGGGAGAGGTGACTGAGGAAATGATTTCTCCTGCCTGCAACAGACTGATCACTGGGGGAGATTAGATTGAGGAGGAAATGCTTCCTCCTGCTTGCAGCAGACTAATCACCAGAGGACATGAAACTGGTGAAAGGCTTCCCCTTACCTCCAGCAGAATTATCACTAGGGAGAGGAGACTGAGGAAATGCTTCTCCCTGCTTGCAGAAGACTGATCACAGGAGAGGAGATGAGACTGAGGGGGAAATTCCTTCTAACGCTTGCAGCAGACTAATCACTGGGGGTGGGGAATGTTTCAGACTGAGAAAATGCTTCCTTCTGCTTGCAGCAGACTAATCACTGGAGGACATGAAACAGGTAAAATGCTTTACCCTACCTTCATCAGAATAATCACTGGGGAGAGGAGACTGAAAAAATGCTTCTTCCTGCTTGCAGAAGACTGATCACAGGAGAGGAGATGAGACTGAGGGGGAAATGCTTTCTACTGCTTGCAGCAGACTAATCACTGAGGGTGGGGCATGTTTTTAAACTGAGAAAATGCTTCTTTCTGCTTGCAGCAGACTAATCACTGGAGGACATGAAACTGGTGAAATGCTTCCTCCTACCTGCAGCAGACTGATCACTGTAGTGATGAGACCGTGAAAATGCTTTGTCCTGTTTGCAGAAGACTAATCACTGGAGAGGAGAGGAGATGAGACTGAGGAGGAAATACTTTCTACTGCTTGCAGCAGACTAATCACTGAGGAGGAGGAGGGGTGTTAGACTGAGAAAATGCTTCCTTCTGCTTGCAGCAGACTAGTCACTGAAGGACATGAAACTGGTGAAATGCTTCCTCCTACCTGCAGCAGACTGATCACTGTGGTGATGAGTCCGAGGAAATGCGTCTTTCTGCTCGCAGCAGACCAATCACTGGAGAAGTGAGACTGAGGAAATGCTTTCTCCTTCCTGCAGCAGACTGATCTCTGGGGGAGATGAGATTGAGGAGGAAATGCTTCCTCCTGCTTGCATTAGACTAATCACTGGAGGACATGAAACTGGTGAAATGCTTACACCTACTTCCAGCAGACTAATCACTGGGGAGAGGAGACTGAGGAAATGCTTAGTCCTGCTTGCAGAAGACTGATCACTGGAGAGGAGATGAGACTGAGGAGGAAATGCTTTCTACTGCTTTCAGCAGACTGATCACTGGAGAGGAGATGAGACTGAGGAGGAAATGCTTTCTGCTGCTTGCAGAGACTGATCACTGGGAATGTGTGTGTGGGGGGGGATGGGGGGTTAGGAGGAAATTGCTTCTTCTGCTTTCAGCAGACTAATCACTGGGGACATGAAACTGGTGAAATGCTTCCTCTTACCTGCAGCAGACTGAACACTGTGGTGATGAGACTGAGGAAATGCTTCTTTCTGATTGCAGCAGACCAATCACTGGGGAGGTGAGACTGAGGAAGTGCTTCATGCTACCCGCAGCAGACTGATGACATTATCTGAGCCTAGGCATTGTCACAGAATTGGAGCTTGCTTGCTGTGACATGTCAGAAATTTAGTAATGCAGACAGTTGTTACCGGAATTTCTACTTTAGGATGACCACACCGGCATCTATAAATCTAATAATAAACAAAAACCACTACCATTCCCCTTTAATAAAAAAACCGCTGAACTGACTTTGCTGAGTAAATAATTAGCAAACTGACCTTTATTTAATGAAGTGCAGCAACGGCCCGGCCTCCAGCCTGAGTAAGATTTACACGTGTACCCCGTAGTGTTCTATAAGGTTGCATGATGGAGGCGCTCCGACCTCAGGAGTGTCAGAGGACCAATAAAAGCAGCACAGCTGCACTCGGCTGGAATCGCATTGTGTGCAGTAATTAGGGACAGGTGAAGAGGCCGGTCAGAGCAATGCTATCCTTCTATGAAGACCTGCAGGGACCGGTGTGAAGACAGGGAGGGATTATTCTTCTACAAACAGCGCCATCCGGGATCGCTGGACGCCACCTCGCCTCTCTTTATTGGGGAGGTCCAGAACTTTTCCAAATCATGGAACTCTCTTCTGAGAGCTTAAGAAACTTCATTTGAGTAAGAAAAACGTGGAAGTCCCACTTCCCCACCCAACATTCTTCAATGGGACCTCCAAGGTCCGCATTTATAAAACAAGCAGAGTTACATTCATCAGCACTGATCACTTTCAGCCCGGGTTCACACTTCTGCGGTGCCTCATATCGCATGTGATTCACACGGGAACCGCCTTCCTGTGCAAATCACATGCAAATTCTGTGCGGTGCGATTTGAGCCATACATTTTAAATGGCTGAAATCGCACCGCTTCCGCACCAAAAAAGTTGCAGGACCCTTTTTTTGGTCCGCACTAGAATCGGATCGCATGGGTATTCACACCCATCGATCTGATTCTGCACATCGCACCGCGTTTTGTGAACCGATTTCGAGGCGTTGTTAACTTAACCACTTTCCGTCCGGCCCATGTATATAAATGGCCGGACGTGGGCAGTGCATATAAAAATGTTAAAAAAATGTTTAAAAATTATAATTTTTTTGGTTATAAACTAATTTTGGTTATTTTTTTCTTTACTAAAAAGATAACGTAATAAATTTTGGCCAAGAATTATGATGAAATATTATTTATTTGCAAAATTGTATAAGAAAATCACTTTTTTCAAAATGTTTTAATTTTTCATTTACATAGCAAAAAAAAAAATAAAAATCCCAGTGGTGAGTAAATACCACCAAAATAAAGCTTTATCTGTCTCAAAAAATGCTAAAAAATTCATATGGGTACAGTGTTGCATGACTGCGCAATTGTCATTCAAAGTGTGATAGCGCTGAAAGCTGAAAATTGGCCTGGGCAGGAAGGGGATATAAGTGCCCTGTAGGCGAGGGGTTAAGTGGGGGTACAGACAACAATGGAAGCCCCAAAGAGGTTCTAAAATCTCTACTTTCTACTATGAAGAAACGTCAGGTGGTTTCATTCTCCTGCATCTTTCAGGAACTGAAATCTGAGATTTGGGCGGAATGAGCCATTAAGTGCATTTTGGATGAAGTTGTCCAGCCAGGCCATATTTCTTCGTTGTAATTCCCAGGATGACGCTCTGCTTTCCTCCGATCTCTCCTTGCCCAGCTCTTGCTACATGGAGCTTAGCGTGATTGTCCCGTGCAGGATCGACATGTCACGCAGGATCGACATGTCACACAGGATGGAGGCTAAGCTCAGCTGGATACCGCTTGGTCTTCGGAGGACAATGTGGATCTTTGTGCTGCGTCTTTAGGTCTTTGTGTCCGTGGCTGTAGACATGCTCACACTTCAAAGAGGGGCATTATACGATGGGTTTTATGTGTGATCGCACATAGTTAGGAGGTAACGGAAGATTTATGAGCCAGGCTGGTTATGCACTTTCCGAAGCCCGGCTCCTACCTCCATTCCCAGGTTTTATGGTGGACCTGGAGAGCGTTTACCGCTTTGGGAGATTTTACATTTTCGAGGGGCTCAGCCATAACAAAGGTCTGAAAAGTCTCTTCATATACAATAGCCCCCCTCCTTCCTGACCAAGCCATTTTTTGCGATATTACGCACTGACAATTGCGCGGTCATGCAACGCTGCATCCAAATGAAACTTACGTCCTTTTTTCCCCACAAATAGAGCTTTCTTTCAGTGGTATTTGATCCCCTGTGCGGTTTTTATTTTTTGTGCTATAAACAAAGACTGACAATAGTGACACTGTACTGCTTGTGGGGGGTGATAATTTTTTTTTTTTTTTCACATTGATTGCTTTTACACCCATAAAGGCTGTAAAAGCAATAATTTCTCCTTCTCTCTGGCTGCATTCTTGCAACCATTGAGAACTACTGTGTGAGCTGTGATTGGTCACAGCTTGTCACATGGTACAAGGCTGTTGTGAATAGCCTCGTACCATGTGACCTCTGTGATCATTCACAGATTTCACACGTAGTAAGCAATGATGTCAGAAGTGACATCTTGCTTACTACTCAGCATGTGATCACTGATTGGCCAATCAGTGATCACATGATTGGGACCTCGCACAGAGGTCCCGTCTGCCGATCAGTGTTCCACTGTGTCCGGAGGATCCCAGGGAGCGTGCACAAGCAGGGTGCGGGAAGGCCGTTTATGAACGGCCACCCGACCCTGCACTGCCACCGTCCAGCCATTTATATACAACGGCCGGACGGGAGGTGGTTAAAGAGTAGAGGTGTGCATGATGGAAAAATGGGTTTTCAATTCGGATTCATTCATTACGTTGCGTTACGTTTCATCACATTCGTTATGTTAGAATGATTCGTTTTCAGAATTTGTTTCATATATTCAGATTAGTTTCGTTGTTTTCAATTTGATATTCGAATTTCAGAAGATGGCTATATTTATTCTATTGTTTGTTTTCTAATGTATTAAATTGTTTTTCATTCTTTAACTTTCCATTTGATTCTCTTATTTTCAATTCTATTCTTTGAGTCTATTCTTTTTTATTATATTCCTTTATTTTCTATTCCATTCTGTTTTATTCTATTTTATTTTGTTTTATTCTATTCTACTTGATCCGATTATTCTATTTTCTATTCTATTCTTTTATTTTCTATTATACTCGGTTTTATTCTATTCTTTTCTATTCTGTTTTATTATATTCCTTTATTTTCTATTCTATTCTTTTATTTTCTATTATACGCTGTTTTATTTCTATTCTATTCTGTTTTATTATATTCCTATATTTTCTATCCTATTCTTTTATTTTCTATTATACGCTGTTTTATTCTATTCTTTTCTATTCTGTTTTATTATATTCCTTTATTTTCTATTCTATTCTTTTATTTTCTATTATACACTGTTTTAGTCTATTCTATTCTTTTCTATTCTGTTTTATTACATTCCTTTATTTTCTATTCTATTCTTTTATTTTCTATTATACTCTGTTTTATTCTATTCTATTACACAGGTCTGCATCTAAAAAGCTGTTTGATTATCTTCATCTAATTTCCATGTATTTTGGTGTGCTGAAAACAAATAAAATATTGAAAAAACTCCTAGAGGTCATGATTTGCCACAAAATGCAAAATTGTCTTCAAATTTATCCAATTTTTTTAATTTTTGGTATTTTTTTATATTATGGGTTTTTAACCAAATTTAAAGTCCAAATTACTATTAATTAATTCACATAAGTGCATTTAAGATCTAAAATGCCCTAAAAAAACCTTAAAGGGGTTGTCCGAGTTATGTAAAAAAAAATATAGCACTGTAAATCTGATGGTCAGCAATATATACATAAGCTAAGCAAGTTTTAGGGAAAAACAATTCTATTTCCTCATTTCCCTTGTTCTCTTCTGGCCCTTTGTTGTTATTTGCAGATAAAAAAATCTCTGCCCCTCCCCCCCTGCAAAGGCTGTGAATACAAGTGCTGCTCTGAGTGATATGTCTGACTACTGGGATACTCAGCAGCATGCTGTATGTGTAAGCCTCAGCCCTGAGTCTGTGCTTCCAATGGTAGAAGGGGTTCATCTTTCCTGAAGAATCCACTGGGAGGGAGACACAGGGCAGATAGCAGCAGCTCCGGTCAGTGCAGGGGGGCGTGGCCAGCACTGTGACGTCACATGTACAGACACAGAGCTGCTCTCTCCTGCAGTCCACACTTGTGCACGAATCATCATCAGGTTCTTGGTTCTAGGCTGTTCATACTTTTTCATCTCAGTTCGTGTTAGCTTGTCATTCTTCAACCGTTATGTTATGGCTCCGCGAAAGTGTATTAATTCGCCAGACAGTTTCTGTTTCATCTGTGGTGAATATACAGTGTTGAAGCAACAGCAGAATATTACAGACTTTGTGAGAAAAGTATACATTGCATACTTTGGACTAAAAATTGGAGATCAAGATAAAGTTTGGGCGCCTCATAAAGTGTGCAAACGGTGTGTTGAGGACCTCCGAAACTGGTTCAAGGGTAAGAAAAAATCTTTCCGTTATGGGATTCCTATGGTATGGCGAGAGCAAAAGAACCATAATGACGACTGTTACTTTTGTTCATGCGATGTGAAAGGGTTTAATTCCAAATGGAAGCATTCCATTTCATACCCCAATCTTCACTCAGCAATTCGTCCCATCCCCCATGGCACAGATATACCAGTATCCAAGCCCCCTGCTACCTTGGAAGAGATACCTAGCTCCGATGAAGGTGAAGTCATACCTGAACCAGATGACGAATCAAGTTCTGACTTTGAAGATGATACAAGACCAAAATTATTTTCTCAGGAGGAGATGAATGATTTGGTAACAGACTTGAACCTTCCCAAAGATGCCGCTGAGTTACTCGGATCAAGGCTGAAAAGCAGGAATTTATTGTTGCCAGGAGTGTCATCTTCATGGTTCAGACATCATGAAAAGGAGTTCGTTCCTTACTTCTCCCAGGAAGACAAGTTGGTTTATTGCATCGATGTTGATGGTCTGATGGGTCAATTTAAAATCCAATATGATTCAGAGCAATGGCGTCTTTTTATAGATTCTTCAAAAAGAAGTCTCAAAGCAGTTTTACTCCACAACGGTGGTTTTTACGCTTCCATACCTGTAGGTCATTCTGTACACTTGAAGGAAACCTACGAGAACTTGGAATTGGTTCTTCGTAAACTTAAATATGAAGACCATGGTTGGCAAGTGTGTGGGGACTTGAAGGTCTTGTGCATGCTGCTCGGGCAACAAGCCTTCTCTTCTGACATCAGGGCCTGACCTCAAAAATGCGTGTCTGGAAGAATGGTCATACATTCCCATAGACACCCTCCTAAACCTTGTGGACGGGCCTTCCCAGAAGAGTTGAAGCTGTTATAGCAGCAAAGGGCGGGGCCAACTCATTATTTAACCCTATGGACTAAGACTGGGATACCATTAAAGTTCATGTGTGTGGTGTCCCAATACTTTTGGCAATATAGTGTAGGTGATCCCTGTGATTTTAAAGGAGGCGGGGTTTGGGTGGATCAAACCATACAATAGGCATGATATGATTATGCCCCCCTCATATTAAATTTGGACTTTGAGCAGTGTTAACAGTGTCCTTGGTTCTGGGGCCATAATGTTGGCAAGTATGAGGAAGCCAGAGCAAATCTTACAAAAAAAACCCAGGAGTTATAATCATTCCCTGGTCCATACAAATCTAAAACAACACCCATGCTCGATAAAAAAAAAAATCTGAAAAAATTGCAGTGGATTAAAATAAAATAAAAAAACTGTCATGTGACCAATCACAGCAGGTCACATGACAGTTGTATACAATGGATGGCTTCATTCATGCCATTTATTGTATACTATTGTGTGTAGCTGTGATGACACAGTTGGCCAGTTTAAGTATGTATTGCAATATGTGTGAACCAAATATCCCTATTTATTGCATAGTTTGCTTGAAAGGGTATATACCAGTGTGCAGAGGGTCCTTCAGAATTTCTAGAGTTAATGTGGTTACACCCCTTTAGCACCTGATGGATAAATGCATGCACTAGCTGTATGGATTTGAGCACAGGGATCTCTTGTTTGTTGTATTGTTGGGTCAGTAGCTAGACCTGAACCTTGTAGCTCTCCCCATTGTGTCTTTTCCCCTATGCTAGCATTGTGTCCACAGTAGCACTTGCGTAGGCAGGGCAGAGTAGGACTGGCCATAGAGGGATTACTTTGACGCAGTTGGCCAGCTTAAACATGTATTGCAATATGTGTGAACCAAATATCCCTATTTGTTGCATAGTTTGCTTGAAAGGGTATATACCAGTGTGCAGAGGGTCCTTCAGAATTTCTGTAGCTGTGATTGGTCACAGCTATCACATGCACAAGCTGGGCTAATCACAACCCAGCTGTGTCAAGTGATTAGCTGTGGCCAAATCACAGCTAAGCACAAAAAAAAAAAAAAATCCCTGAATGAATCAATGTCATTCAGGTAAATGCTTGCTTATAGCAAAGTAATTCTTTGCTATAAGCAAATTGTGTAAAAAAAAAAAAATATATATATACTGATTACTTCCCCAAAGTAGTACAATGTTACTATGGTAACATTGTACTACTTTGGTCATAGTGAAATATGAAAAAAAAAATCATAAAAAAAAGAAAAATGTAATAAATTAAAAATAATAAAAAAAATGTAAAAAATTAAAAAAAAATGATATTTTTTTTTTTTTCATACTGTCACCAGTCAGTGTCCTTGATCACCGCCATGCCAGTTATATGATGATGCTGTACTGCACTGGTGACAGTATGTAAAAAAAAAATTTGTGAAAATAATTTTTTTAATTTTTTCATTTTCTGAAAAATTATGACAAAAAAAAATACAAATTCAAAAAACTCGCCATGCCTCTTATGAAGTACGTCGGACTGTCTACTTTGCAAAAAGGGGTCATTTGGGGGATATCTGTACTGTTCTGACATTCTTGGACCTCAAGAAATTAGATTGGCTGTCAGTACTTCAGGATTGATCAATTTTCAGATCTATACCAAAGTTTGTGAACTCTATAACTTTCCTACAAACTAAAAAATACATCCTAATTTGGGTTATTTTCACCAAAGACATGTAGCAGAATACATCTCGGCCTAAATTTATGAAGAACAATTATTTATTTGCAAACGTTTATAACAGAAACAATGAAAAACTTTTTTTCTAAATTTTCTGCCTTTTTTTGTTAATTTAGCAAAAAATAAAAACCCCGGTGGTGATTAAATACCACCAAAAGAAAGCTCTAGTTGTGTGAAGAAAATGATAAAATTTTAGTTTGGGTACAGTGTTGTATGACCGTGCAATTGTCATTCAAAGTGTGAGAGCGCTGAAAACCTGAAAAATGGCCTGGGCAGGAAGGTGCAAAATTGCCCGGTATTGAAATGGTTAATAAAAGACTTGTCAAAAACTGTTGTGTTTTCATTAACATTTTACACTTTTTTGGTGAATGGGTAGGGGTACTATGTTCGTTCGCTCATTCATTCGCCCCCCCCCCCCTTTCCTGGCGTGCCAGGTCTGTGCTTGGATTAAGGTTCTTGTAGGAATTTAGGGGGGACCACATGCCATTTTTGGGGGGTAGGGTTCCCCTTAAAAGTTCTAACAGGCCTAAAGGGTCTAGTATGGCTTTTAGAGGGAACCCCACGTACTTAAAAGAAAAAAATTACTGTGGGCTCCCTCCTAACCTTTCTACCAGACCTAGAGGGTCTGGTATGGATTGGGGGGTGCTGTATATTTA